AAAAATTTGAGTCAATACATCTTTTAATGTTAGTGGAATCTGGACGTCAATCAGGTTCTGTTTTGGCTTTTGGATCATGGACCTAAGCACCAAGCACAAGGGGTGATAGTTATTCAGTCCTGTCATGCGAGGTTGGCTAAGGGAGTAATTAGTAGGTGGTTCTGTCTTTTTAGCTGTAGAAGACATATGAATATGCATGTTCCTTTAAGGGAAACTGGTTTGTCTCCAGAAAAACATTTCTCTGCCTTCAGAAGTATGTGATCAAAACCCAGAAGGGGACAGTCTCCTGATGGTCTTTGGGTCAGCCTTGTGAGATGCTGGTCCATTCCTGGACTCCTGGGAGCTGCCTTCCCCTTCCGTCCCTTCATTCTGAACTTGATCTTGCTACAGAGTGAGAGAGATCATCCATTCATTGGGGAGCAAGCACATTCCTGTTCTGGGTTCACAGACCATAATGGGTGGTTAACAGATAGCGTATAATACCTGTCTCGTTCTTTTCTTTTTTCTTTTTAGAATTGAGCACAGGATTTTTCAGAGCTCTATACAGTAAAACCATTAAAAGAGATGGACAACTGAGAACAAAATCTAATGGAGAGGGTGAAAGAAAAATTAGGAAATAAGTCAAACCACATTTCCTTCCACTGATAGATAGACTATGATGTGAAGATCTTGTCCCCAAAAGGTCCAGTGTTAGTTATAGGAAAAGTATTTACAAGAGTTGACCTCATTTCCTTTTTCCTTCTTCTACACACTCACCTCTCTGCCTTTTTCCCCTTCCTGGTTCTTTGGGGAAATCAGATTTTATTTTAGGGTATTTTTGACATTCCTCCTTAAATGTCAGCTCTGTGGTCCTCTGTCTTGAGGCTTTTCTCTGTATCCTAGCAACTGGTATCCTACAAGGTCCTCAACTGCTTCATTAGCCTGAAGGGTGAAGATCAAGCAAATGGGACCCCGAAGGGGTGAACAGGAGCAGATTTGCAGTCAAAGCCAGTCTCTGGAATGATTAAGTAATGTGGCTGAAGAAGACTTACTGGATAGCAGTGCCTCCAAACTAAAAGGCTTCTCTCAGCCCAGAGATAGGGGGAGGCCAGGATGGTGGAAGGGGTGGGGTGGTGAGGAGAAGTAGAGAATTGCATCCTTGAAATCATAGGCATGTCCTTTGCCTGGAAATTTCTGTTGTAATTGCTAAATCACAGTAAGGGGAGTAGAAATTGAATTTTGGACCAGGTGACACCATTCTTCATTTGTCTGATGAGGTCAAAAGTTGGCATATGGAAGAACAAACTTCAGAGGGGGAGAAATTGGACAGAGGTGACGATTTTCTGCAGGACGTTATTATATGCTATCTACATGGATGCTGAGTGGATGGGTTGCTTCTGTAAAGAAATGCAGAGCCCCTGTGGATGGCTGGGGAAGGTGGGGGCGGTGGAGGGGGTACAGCGGGCAGTGTGAGGATGACAGCAGGCCTTGGGTGCCTTTCCCTGGATTGTTTGTCATCCTTCTGCATAATGTTCTGCTTTTTTCTTCATTTTTGAAGAGCTAAAATGAGTTTTGTTTACTGCAGACTTTATCACCTCAACATTTAGAATACTTATTCTGTGTGTGTGTGAAAATCTTAGGACAGATTTTTAAGATTTAAATTAAAATTTTCATCTTTGAATTGATACATAAAACATCAAAATTGTATGTGTTTATGGGGTACAGGATGATGTCTCTATATGTATATACATAACATGATGTTTAAAGTAGGCTAGTTATATTTACCTCCTTATATTTTTCTTTCCTTTCCCTTTTCTTTTTCTCTTTCCTTTCCTTTTTTTGTGCCAGTACTGTAGCTTGAACTCAGGGTCTTGTGCTGTTCCTTACCTTTCCTCATCCATTTAAGATTAGTGTTCTACTGCTTGAGCCATACCTCCATTTCTGGAGTTTTGGTGGTTAATTGGAGATGAGTCTCTCAGAGTCTTTGGCTTGAACTTTTATCCTCAGATATCAACCCCTGAGTAGCTGGGATTACAGATGTCAGCTACCAGCACCCAACTCATATTGATCATTTCTTTATGATAAAAAATACTCAGATCCTTTCTTCTACCTATTCTTGTGAAATATTCGCCCTACCGTGCATTAGCACACAGGGACTTCTAGCTGTTATCCAACTGTAACAGTACTTACTGATTGATCACTCTTCTTCTTCTTCCCTTCAGCACTGCTGCCCCTGGCCTATGGGATCCACCATTCTATGCACACTTCCAAGATATCAGTTGTTTTAGGTTCTACAGGTGAATGGGACCATGTACTGTAGTCCTGTGCCTGCCTCATTCAGTTAACATAATGACCTCCAGTTCTATCTATGTTGTGCCACATGGCAGAATTTCATTCTTTGTTTGGGTGAATAGTATTCCATTGCTATATAATGATGTATTTGGGCTTTCCTGTGTAGTAGTGCTTCTTCCTCTCTCTCTGGGAAGTGTTGTGTGTGGCCGGGGAGAGACTTCCTTGAATACTGCCTGCACTAAAAGCGTTTGAGCTATGTTTTCTCCTCCTTCACGTCTCTTCATTACACACCTGGCCTGGTATATTACTGATTACTTTCTCTTTTATACTGATCACTTTTTCTTTTTGCTGACCCCTTCATGGTACAGATGCAATGATTACACGACAGTTTCTCTTACTTTATTGAGTGTCCAGAAGATAGAACTTAGTCCTGTCTGTCTATAGCCTGATGTGCAGACTTTGCCATTTATTTACCAATGCTTATTGCATGTTGACTGGGTTATACTAGTTTACCATTCTCCATAGATATAACAATGGAGTGGGATAAACTATCAGCTCACAGAGGTGACATTCTGAGGTTGAGGGAAGATGGCTAATAAGCAAAATAAATAAGTAAAATCATATGCACAGAGTTCCATGTGTGGATATGTGTGCTCGCGCACACACAGAGCACAATGCTTGGAGGACTAAATTAGCAAATGCACCTCTACAAGGGACAAAGAGGATGGGGTAAAATTAATTGAGAATGGCAGGTTCTGATGTAAAGCAGCTCTACAGAATGTCATTCTGGCCATGCTGTTCTGCATACAGAAGAGATAGGGGTGTGTGTGTGTGTGTGTGTGTGTGTGTGTGTGTGTGTGTGTGTGTGTGTGTGTGTGTGTGTGTGTGTGTGTGTGTGTGTGTGTGTGTGTGTGTGTGTGTATGTGTGGCTCTTTGTAGGGTAGCAGAGATTGTAATGTGGTCATACAAGGTCACAGCATTGTACTTTTCTAATGGATGTTAGTTTGTGCTTAGTAATAAAGTTATTTTTCCCCCTGAGTATTTGCAGTGTGCCAGGCACTGCTTTGAACTTTTCTCCTCACATGGAGATGGGGAAGCCCCAGCTATACCCACTTTCCAAAGGGGAGGGCCAGGCCAGAGGGCGCTTCTGCTGCTTATGGCAGTGTTATACAGCTAGAAGATGACAAGTGCTCCAACCCCAGTATCTCTGCTGTGATTCTGGTGTAGAATCTACAAAATCGGAACCACCTCCTTTTTCTCTTCTTCTTCTTTTTGGCGGTACTAGGATTGGAACTCAGGGGTCTTGTGCTAGCTAGGCAGCAATACCACTGAACCATGACTCTAGTCTGGTTTTCACTGGTTATTTTTAGGCTAGGGTCCTGCTATTCCAAACAAAAACCTTCAGTTCAAGCTGTGAGTTCTCTGCTGGAAGACAGTGTCATTGCTGGTCACACTAGATGTGCAGGTCTGCCATCCCAGATACATCCTAGGGCTCTGGGCTTATAAAAAAAAAAGACGCTATGTTGGAAATGAGCAGTATAGAAAGGACCTGGCAGTGTAGCTCACATGGTAAAGCACCTGCTTAGCAAGCATGAACCCTGAGTACCTCCAATAAAGAAATAAAAATTACAGCTTTATTGAGATATGTTCCAAGGCCCCCAGAATATACCTTTAAAGTGTACTTTATTTGCCGGGCGCTGGTGGCTCACACCTCTAATCCTAGCTACTCGGAAGGCTGAGATCTGAGGATCATGGTTCAAAACCAGCCTGGGCAGGAAAGTCCCTGAGACTCTTATCTCCAATAAACCACCAGAAAACCAGAAGTGGTGCTGTGGCTCAAGTGATAGAGAGCTCGCCTTGAGCTGAAAAGCTGAGAGACAGCACCCAGACCCAGAGTTCAAGCCCCACAACCGACAAAAAATAAAAAAGTACTTTTTTTGTTTTTTGGTGGAAAATGTATTTATGGAATTGTGCAACCAGAAACAATTAATTTCAGAACATTATCATCATCCCATTATAAAAAAACAACAACTTGTACCCATTAGCAGTAGCTCCCCATTTCTCCTTCCTATCAGTCATGCATCTACTTCCTGTTTTTATGTATTGATTTGTCTTTTCTGGACATTTCCTGTATGTGGGTCCACACAACATGGGCTCTTTCATGTTTGGCTTTTTTTACTGAGTGTAATACATTCAAGGGACATCTATACTATAGCACCCACCAATGCTTCTTGCTTTGCACTTCCTAGTGAATGGATGAACAAGCCTCATTTTGTATGGCCACTCATTCTTAGAGATGGGCATGGGTCTACTTGTAGATGGTTAATGAACAATGTTTCTGTACACATGTATATACATGTTCTTTATATGGCATATGTTTTCAGTTCTTTGGGCATATGTTTTCAGTTCTCTTGGCTATAAACATAGGAATGGAATTTCTGGGTCCTATTCACTGAGTTTAGTGTTTAAATTGACTTCTTTTTACTTGTGGGATCTGCATCCTTACTTTTTGCAAGTGAAAATAAATTTACTTCCTTGGTGCTGAGTGTTGTCAACAGCTTGATATAACATGAACACATCTGGGGCCCAGGTTAAGATTCTGTGAGCGAATCATGTAATCATAAGTATGTTTATTGTGTAGAGTTGATGCTTGACTATATTTGTTTTGTTCTCTTCCTAGCTTCTTCTTACTCTAATATTCACCCAATTTTTTTTCTTTTCTTTTCCAGAATCGCAATGAAATAAAAAACGGCACTATCCTTCGATTAACCACATCTCCAGTAAGTTGATCTTAGTTGGTTATTTCATCTTAAGCTGCCTACCCTCTGGGTCTGCTGTATGTGCTTATAGAATGCTGTTTTTTGAGAGTGACTGTACTCTAAACAGAAAGTCCCTGGGATGTCCTCATGGGCAGAGTCTAGTTTAATTGGAAGTCTCTCCAGTTTATTTCCCATGGCAGAGGAGGAAGGAACCTATTCCACTGTGAACAGAGAATGGATTGGGAATCATGGAATTGGAGTTTGGTGCCCATCTCAATAGCTCTTCCAGTACTGATGAATAACTTGGCTATGTAGATTTTTTTTTTTATCATCTTCTCTGAGCAAATTCAGAGAAACAAAGCAAGCCAAACCAAAAACAGGCTGTTTCTTTATTTAAAGTCTATGGAGGGGTGGGGGGGAGAAAGGTGGGTGGGAAGAAGGGAAGGAGGGGGAAAGAGAAGGACAGAGAGAAAGACAAAGACAGGTTGAATTTAAATATTTCCTAGTGTTGGTCAGTGATGATGAAAATTGATGAAAAAATGGATAAAAATTGATTTAAAATAGTAAATGTTGGGCCATTTAGGCTGTTTCATGGATGCTAATCAGAACTCATGCATATCTGCGCGTGAAAGCTGTTGAACAAGGTGCCTGTGGCACTTGGCAGTGAATGGGTCTTTCTTGTTTCCTGGTCTAGTTGGGGTAGTAACCTTAGCATATTTGAGCCATATTGTTCCACACTGCATTTCCTTGCTTTCCTAGAAAACACAAGCAGCACAAAATATACCAAGTATTACTATTTCCACCCCCACAGTTGAGGAAAACTGTCTATCTATCATTTCCAGTTGTCACACAAGCCATGTAATAGGCTAAAAATAAATTTCAAAATGGAGGAGAAAGCATCTGGCTAGAATTAAACTGTGGGCAGTATAACTACCACAGATCCATCTTGTTGAAAATGGCATTAGAGAGGTTTAAAAACTGCTAAGTATTTTGCTTTCATTTAAATTGGCCTATTAATTTTTTAATTTTTATTTGTATTGTAAGGCGATGTGCAGAGGAGTTAGAGTTACATGAGTCAGGCATTGATTACATTTCTTTTTGGACAGTGTCACCCCCTCCCTCATTTTTTCTGTTTCATTTTTCCCCTCCTCCGCCCCCCGCCCCGATTCCCCACGTTCTATAGTTCATTTCCAACACAGTGTCTTGTGACTATCACTGCTGAGTTAGTTCACCCTCTGTCCCAGCATTTCTGTGCTTCCCTTTCCCCTCACCAAAGCTGATAAACTTACATACAAGACGTAAGTATTTTATCCTAAGACATCTCCAACCTAAACATAGGGATGGGCTCAGTAGACAGAATGACTGGGTTGCTGCAGCCATTGCCCGGTGCCAGCTTCCCTGCTTCACAAAAATGATAGTTTGCTGTCCTTTTTCTGTGGGTTGAGTCATTTTTGTCTGACTTCCTGAAATTAATGTGAATTAATACAAATGTGACCCTTGGAGGTGAGCATTTCATTTGTGCTTTGCATTCTTATTTATCCTGCTCAAAGCCCTTCATCTGCTTGCCAGGCAGGGAAGTGCACACCGTGTCTTTTGTTTCCTCTTAGAAAGGCTCAGCATTTTCTCTGGCCATCTCCAAGCCAAAGAAAGAATTGGTTCCCCTCACTGGGGATTCAGTCGCTCTTAGAAAGGAGGTTCAGTGTCAGGGAGGAGAGGGTGGTGTTTACAGCATCTCCAGGGTGGCGTTATATTTTTTATTTTTTACATTTGTTCATTTTTATTTTATTTTTTATTTTATTTATTTATTTATTTTTGTCGGTCGTGGGGCTTGAACTCTGGGCCTGGGCGCTGTCCCTCAGCTCTTCAGCTCAAGGCGAGCGCTCTACCACTTGAGCTACAGCGCCACTTCCGGTTTTCTGGTGGTTTATTGGAGATAGGAGTCTCACGGTCTCTCCTGCCCGGGCTGGCTTTGAACCGTGATCCTCAGATCTCAGCCTCCTGAGTAGCTAGGATTACAGGCGTGAGCCACCAGCGCCCGGCTTGTTCATTTTTATTCACAACCTGTTTTTCAGTACAATTTTCCACCTGTTCCCATTTGCAGTCGGGTTATACAAGTGCTAAGTGGCAGAAAGTTCTGGAATAACTACACCAAAGAAGGAAAACAAAGCAAAGCTGTGAGATAAGTTGCATGTAGCAGGCCCCAGAGCAGCATTTTAACTCTGTGGAGACCTGTCATCTCAGAGCAGGGATTTTGGAAAATATCCTTCACATTCCCAGCTCTGTTAATGGAAAGATGGTAGAGATAGCAAGCAGGATGCCGCTACAAGACAAGACTGGCTTATGTTTCCAAACCTGGGGCAGTTGTGGACTTTGACCTGCAAGTGTGCAGGCCTTGGGTTACAGTGTCTGAGACAGCACACCAGACTCTGCATTTGAAACACTGCCTTGTGCTCTGTGGATGGACACAGAGTCTGGAATTGGGCATTATGTCACAACAAAATATTTGGGATCTGAAAATGTCATTAATTGCTAGATTACTTTCTGTAATTTTGTTTAAAATTGAAAATTGAATTGAGAACTACAAAATATGGGTCACACATGGTAACTTGTGTGTGTGTGGAGGGGTTCTTGGGGCTTGAATTCAAGGTCTGGGCGCTGTCCCTTAGCCTTTTCACTCAATGCTAGTTTTCTACCACTTGAGCCAGAGCTCCAAGTCCAACTTTTTAGTGATTAATTGGAGGTAAGAGTCTCATGGACTTTCCTGCCCAGGTTGGCTTTGAACTGAGATCATCTGATCCCAGTCACCTGCATAGCTAGGATGAAAGGCATGAACAGTTGGTACCTGGTTAATTCATTATTATTTTTTTTTTTTTGTGCTTACCTTGGGGCTTGACCTCAGGGCCTGGGTACTATCCTTAAACACTCGTTTGCTTAAGGCTAGTGCTCTACCACTTGCACCACAGTTTAGCTATTGGAGATGAGTCTCATGGATTTTCCTGACCAGGCTGGCTTAGAACTGTGATCTCCAGATCTCAGCCTTCTGAGTAGTGAGGATTACAGGTGTGAGCCACCTGTGCCCATAGACAATAAAAATGAATTAAAAGTGAATTTATCCATCCATTTTTAAGAAAAGATTACTGTGAGGAACACAGAAGAAGGTATTTTGCTACTTCAGGATTACAGGCATGGGCCACCAATGCTCAGCTGTGCTAATATTTAAAGTTCATGCACCTAGCAAGCTGAGTTCCCCCTCCTGGGAGATAAGACACTAGCATGCATACACCGGTACACACACACACACACACAATCGTAGGTAACGTGGCCATGCTGAGTTGTGCTTCTATTCTGTGGAGGTGGTATTTCCATTTAAGCATTTTTTTCTCCTTTTATATTTGTTTCCTTTTAAGTAAGTGTTTCTGTTGGTCGGTCTCCAATTGAAGTAGAATGAATTAGGTATAAATTCTGTCTACCTAGCTTCCTCTTTGTTTATTGACATTTTTGTTAGCAAAAGTTCTTTTGGAAAGGTACATACATAGAAGAGCCAACAAAATGTCCTTTGCACAATAGACCAGGCAGGACTTATTGTACTCCAGCTGGGAAGTCTAGGGAGTGATTCGGAGACAGAACTGGGGTTCTTCCAGTCTTCACACAGAGAGGGTACATTCAAAGTGATTTAGAAGCCAGGTTCTGGTGGCTCAAGCCTATCTATAATCCTAGCTACTCAGGAGGCTGAGATCTGAGGATCACAGGTCACAGTTTGAAGCTAACCCTGGCAGGACAGTCCATGAGACTATCTCCCCCCCCCCCCCTTCGGTCCATTATGGGGCTAAAACTCTGGGCCTGGGTGCTGTCCCTGAGCTTCCCCCCCCCCACCCCAAGGCTAGTGCTCTACCACTTTGAACCACAGCTCCATGTCCAGTTTTCTGGTGGTTAATTGGAGATAAGAGTCTTATGGACTTTCCTACCTGGATTGGCTTTGAAACCACCATCCTCAGATTTCAGTCTCCTAAGTAGCTAGGATTATAGGTGTGAGCCACCAGTGCCTGGCCTCTAGAAGTGGAGCTGTGACTCAAGTGGTATGGAACACGAGCTTTGAGCCAAAGCAGCTCAGGGATAGTGCCTGGACTCTGAGTTCATGCCCTAGGACTGGCACCAAAACAAACAAAACAAAAATGTAAAAACCAAAATTATTTAGAGCCCTGGACCTCTGCATATAATTAGAGACATGCTTCAAGGGCATGCTTTCTGGGACCTCACCCAGGCTTTGGACACAGGAAACCCTTGAGATGGCCTAGGCTTGTGTCTTAAAAAGCCACATAGGGTTCTAGTGTATGTACAGCCATTAAGATCATAGTGAGTTCTATAATAAAATAATTTTCAGTATTTTCTGTCTTATTCTTTAAATACATATGGGAAAAATATACACTTGGGAAAAATGGGAATGAAGCTCTCAGACATAATGTGTAGGCTGTGATTACTCAAAGTATTGGCTGAAGAGATGGGTACGAGGTCTGCACTTATGTGATTGCTTAACAAAGCAAGTAGCTTTTAGTTACTTCTAGATAAATGATTGGGCTTCAAAAGTAAATATCTGCCTCACCCCTTATCCTATCCCCCCCCCCACCCTGATCAGTTTCTGGGTCTTCAGTGTTCTTCTGACCTCACTTTGCTTTTCTTTGAAACAGAAGGTGAAATGGATGGTCAGTGTGCTAGCCCTTACTCTCACACCTGTCCGTGAGAGACACAGGCTATCAGGTATTCTCACACACATTGTCCGCTTCTGGATGCCGAACTTTATTTTTCAGGGATGCTGTCATTTCTGTGATGTTGTAATTTTCCTTTTGAACACTGTCGTCTTTTTTATACCACCTCCACCCCCCATAAGGCTCAGAATGCCCAGCAGCTCCATGAACGCATCCAGTCGTCAAGTATGGATGCCAAGCTGGAGGCCCTGAAGGACTTGGCCAGCCTGTCCCGGGATCTCACGTTCGCCCAGGAATTCATCAACCTGGATGGCATCTCTCTCCTCACCCAGATGGTAGACAGCGGCACTGAGTAAGTAGCTGGTGTCCACCTGGTGTCCACACAGGCAGGTACACTGGCATGTACACTGGTGTTTCTTGCACTCCTTACTCCTACGTTTCTCAGTTTTGAAGAACAGAGTCTTGCCTAGATCAAGATACCATCCCTGGAATAATTTTTGGAAAAAGAAAATGGGTCAGGCACCAATGGCTCATGTGTATAGGCATAGCCTAGCTACTTAGGCAGCTGAGATCTGAGCATCATGATTTAGAGTTCAACCAGGAAGAAAAGTCTCTGAGACTCGTATTTCTAGTTAACCACCCAAACCCCCCAAAATGGAGCTGTAAACGTGGTACAGTGCTAGCCTTGAGCAAAAATGCCCAGGAAAATAGTGCCCAGGCCCTGAGTTCAAGCCCCAGGAAGAGCAAACACACAAAAATAAGGCAAAACACACTTTCATGAGAGGACATTGTGTGCCTTTTGATTTTTTTTCAATAAACTTTAATAAATAAGAGTAGATAAACAGGGGGTCTAGGTACTGAAGGGAGAGGATTAGTGATGAACAGGGCAGGTAGGGGTGTGGCAAGGGCTGCTCCAGGTGAAGGCTTCGTTGTGGCGTGGTGTGAAGAGGCCTTTGGCTGCTTGTTTGTGGTGAAGGCATTGGTCGTGCTGGCTTTGGTCTGGCCAGTGGCACTGGCGGAGTGCAGTCAGTAGATGTTAGCACAGCTGGGCTGGAGCTGGCCCCGCAGCTGCAAGAGGAGCAGAGCAGGTATAGAGCCCATGTTGGTGTCGGGACACGGCCCTGCCTGCTGCCTTGCAGACCGAGCTCTGCCCCCTGAGGCGGCCCACGGTGGATGGAGGTCCCTAAGGCATCCAACAACTGATGGTTCTGGGTCTTTCCCAGATGTCAGCCCTCCTGTCCACACACACACACACTGTGCTCCAGATCTGGCCCCCATATGCAACACACTCTCCTGTGCCCTTGTACAAGCCTGAGTTGCATGTGACTGTGGGAGTGCACTTGCATGCATGCACACTCGCTCAGGCACCTGGGCTCATGGGTGTAAGTAGGACTGGCTATCCCTTCCTTGGAAGGAACAGCTCCGGGGCCAGTGTCCCTCACCTGCAGCCTCTGCCTCAGTGGCCTCCAGATGATGCCACCAGAATGGGAGGTTGGGAGTTGGCATCTCCATAGGAGAGATGCATATGTCCAGGTGAAGGCAGGCCTTGCCACCATGTGGTGGGGCAATGTAGTCAATGTGGTGCAGGCCTGAAAAGAGAGGAAGAAGGGTCAGGAGGCCAGCAAGAAGCTTAAGGAGGGAAAGAAGGGAGGCAGGGAGGAAGACAAGGGCATGACAAGTGGCCACTGTTGAGGCTGGGTGTGGCCCCCTGGAAACTTTGGGCCCTAGCATCTCCCCAGACAGCACCAAGCCCCACGCCTTGCAGGGCTGCTGGTTGGGCAGTTAGTGAGTAAGTGTGCCACAAGGTTTGTAGGAGGAGAGGGGATGGTGAGGCCAGGATTGCCTCCGAGTCTAGAGAGAGGGTTCCGGGTCTGGGGAGTCCTCCCGCCTGCCCCTGGGGAAGAAGGGAGAGGGCACAGTAGGTGACTCACAGGCCTTGGCTGGTCAGGGCGAACCACCACAGGGCTACGCAATGGCAGCGACAGCTGCATGCACGAGCACCCTGTGGTACAGCTCCCTATGGGCATCAGGAGCCGATCCTTCCGTCTATACGGACTGTGGCTGTGGAACCAGTTCCGGCTCAGCAAACCGAGGTAGGGGTGACAGTCAGCCACCAAGCACCTGGAGGAAACGGCAGTCAAAGAGGCCACAGCAGGCGGAGGGTCCTGGCAGTTCTTGCTACACACCCACCCTCCCAGCTGCCCGGGTCAGAGCCTGGATGAGCTGTGGCTTGCCCGTGGCAGCCAGTGCCTTGCAGGATGAGGCTCACCTGGTCACAGGCAGGGCCTCTTGACTGGAGCACAGTGCCTCCCTTGGTCCCGAAGACCCACGTCTGTGCAGAGGGGCCGGTGCCCGGTATTGAATCCCCTGCAAAGACGGTATCATCATGCACATTTGCCATAGGTTGTACAAATCCTCTCTGCTCCAGACCGGCATAATGTTTTCAGCCTGGGGAGACGCAGAGTTGTTTGGTTTTTCAAAGAAGCTGTAATCAACCTGCTCGAGGCTTGGGGGTGGGCTAGAACTCAGAACAAACTCCCTGCCGTAGGAAGGCATGGGAAAGGCAGGCATGTGTTCTCTCTCTGTCTCTACCTCTGTTTGTCTGTCTCTGTCGCTGTCTCTCTGTCTCTGTCTCAGTCTCAGTCTCTGTCTCACTGTCTCTCTCTCTCTCTCTCTGTCTTTCTCTGTCTCTCGAACACATATACCCACACCCAGCACACACATGTACTCCCACTCACACACCGCTGGTCTAGCTGGAATCCTCATACACACACACACACACACACACACACACACACACACTCACTCACTCACTCACTCACTCACTCACTCACTCACTCACACCGGGAGCCTGCAGCTGTAAGTGAGCACTTTGAGTTTGCTGAAAGTGAGCCTCCAGCCTGATGATGAATGGTGAAAGCACAGAGAAAGTGCAGAAGCTGTTAGGTCCCTGGCACAAGGGCTGAGAGGCAGTGGGTGGACCCAGGACCAGACAGGAGGGTAAATGTGACAGTTGGGCCAAAGCCCAAGAGCTACGTAGGTTCACATGTGGGCAGCGAGCCGCTTTCACGTGTGGTGAGTGTCAGAGTTGTGGGTAGGTGTGGTGTGGCTAGCGGGCATGGAGATGGGGGCCTGGATTACATTGGGTGCTGAACTGTTTGGCAGCAGTGTCCCTACCAAGGAAGTGCTGGGGCTGGAGGGTGACACGTGACTTTGTCCAAGCCCAGCCCAGTGTGAGTGTGTTGTGTGGGTTGGATGTCCTTGGAGGAACCGACATGCATCCACATGATTGACAAAGCCAGGGCCTGACAGTGATGCTGTATGTGATGGAGGTCCAGCTGCGGTTGTCCTGAATCATGTCCTGTATGCAGGTCTGCAAAGACAGGGATGGCCAGCAAGAGGCGAGCAAGAAGCATGAAGGTGAAAGTGGGAGGGAGAGAGGGACATGGTGTATGGCCAATGTCGGGGCTGTTTATGGCTGTTTATGGAAGCTTTAGGGACTAGGCACTTCCTGGACAGCAGCGGGCCCCATGGACCGGCAGGGCTGATGCCTGGCCAGTGAGTGTGCCAGTGTGTCCCAGGGCTTGCAGGAGGAGAGGTGATGGTGTGGCCAGAATTGGCTCCTAGAGAGAGGGTTCTGGGTCTGTGTAGACTGTCTGCCTGCCCCCCAAGGAGGAAGGATGAGGGGCCCAGTCCGGGACTCACCGGCCTTGGCTGGTCAGGGCTGATCAATGGCAACAGCTGCATCAGAGAGCATTCTCTGGGAGAGCTCCCGATGGGCCTTTGCAGCCCACATTGGCATCCATCTGGCCTGGGGCTAAGGCTCAGCAGCACCCAGCCAGCCACCGAGCACCTGAGGAAAAGGCAAAGGGGCCACAGCACAGTGAAGGTCCTCCAGTGCTTGCTACATACCCACCCTCCCGCCTGCCCAGGAAAGAGTCTCGATGAGCTGTGGCTTGCCCATGGCAGCCAGAGCCTTGCAGGATGATGCTCACCTGGTCACACTCGCAGCCTCTTGCCTGGAGCACAGTGCTTCCATGGGGGCCACGGAGCCGCAGCTCTGCAGAAGCCCAGGTGTTGGGTCCACAAGCCCCTGGGAAGAAGTAATCCTTATTTGCCAGCTCCTAGAAGTTTCCTCCAGGTTCAGGACCAGCAGCCCGTTTTCAGTCTAGGGAGATACAGAATTGCTTGGATTTTCAAAAAAGACGGGAGAACCCCGCTGGAGGCTTGGGGGAGAGCTGGAGCTCAGAACAAACCCCACTGCCTTAGGAGGGCATGGGAAAAGCAGGCATGGGTTTTTTCTCTGTCCCTGTCCCTGTCCCTCCCTCTGTCTCTCTGTCTCTGTCCCTCCCTCTGTCTCTCTGTCTTTGTCTGTGTCTCTTTCTCTCTCCAACACATACACCTGCACACCAGCACACACGTGCACTCCTGCTCCCATACACACAGGCTAACTCGAATTCGAATCCACACACACACACACACACACACACACACACACAAGACACTGGGAGCCTGCAATAGTGTGTGTGCCCTTTAAGTTGCTCGAAGCAAGCCTCCCACATGAGGATGGGCAGGGAAAGCCTACCGAAGGTGCAGAAGCTGTTAGGTCCCTGGCACAAGGGCTGAGAGGTGGTGGGTGAGCCCAGGAGTAGGCAGGAGGGGACATGTGGCAATGCAGCCAAAGCCCAAGAGCTACCTAGGTGCACATGTGGGCAGCCAGCCGCTTTCTCGTGTGGTGAGTGTTAGAGTGGTTGGCAAGTGTGGCTAGGGGGCATGGAGCTGGATTACGTTGGGTGATGGACTGTTTGGCAGTGGTTTGTCCCTGCCAAGGCAGTACAGGGTCTGCAGTGGGAGCTATTGCTTTGTGGGGCTGGCAGAGACAGCCCTGCATGACTTTGTCCAAGCGCGGCCCAGTGTGAGTGTGATGTGTGGGCTAGATGTCCTTGGAGGAATGGACACACATGCACACTCACCCGGGTGACTGACCAACGCCTGCGCCTGATGGTCCGGGTGTATGTGACGGAGGTCCAGCTGGTGTCATCCTGGCCTAGGTCCCGTGAGGAGGCCTGCAAAGACAGGGGAGGCCACAGGGTCAGCAAGAAGCGTGAAGGTGAGGATGGGAGGGAGGGAGGGACATGGTGTGTGGCCGCTGTTGGGGCTGTTTGTGGCTGGGTGGAAGTGTTAGGGACCCGGCCCTCCCTGGACAGCAGTGAGCCCCATGATCTTGCAGGGTTGATGGCTCTTAGGCACTGGCAGGAGCGGGCAAATGAGAGGAGGGTGGGGACAGCTCAGGAATGTTTCCCTCCTAGACACCCGAGGCAAGGTGCCAAGAGAGAGGGCTCTGGTTCTGAC